AATATAAATATTTACATACACACAGCAAACACACGCACACGCGCGCACACACACACACACACACATATATATATATTAAAGATATTCAGCTCTCAAAAATCATGTCTATGCCTTTCTTATTGCCGCAACTAGGAAAGTCAATCGGTACAAGTGGCAAGTTTCGCTGAAGACCTACTCTCATTAAGAATTGCATCCCAGGCCCGAGTAATGGAGGATATACAGCAGTACTTCTCGCTTCCCACAGCCAATATCCTGATAAGCACGGTTAAATCAAATTTACTATGAACTATAGATAGAACACGCGCACGCATGCACGTATGCACTCCCCTCCCCCCCGCGATAAATATTTAACAAAATATTTTTACCTAAATTATCGGTGTAAAAACGAAGAATGATATATCCTTTATTCGGTACGACAAAAGTATCTTTTTGCACCGGATTCACAAGATTTCGATGTATCTTTCCATTAAAATCCAAAGATATAATATCATCTTTGGTGAGAGGTTGCTCAAAACTTTCTCGGGCAACAACACTGGCATTGTAACCATGTAAATGAAATGTATAGGATGCATTGCCTCCAAAGCCTGAGAAAGATACTGAGATTATATACTAGCTTTACTAATTTTTGAAACTGATAATTTTATACAATTTTTTTTACATTTACCGTATTTTGTTACGGCATGTTATATATTCTTTTATTAAAATAAAAAAACATCAACTATCTCAAGGATTAGATTTATCCGCGGTAATTACCTTTGTTTATTAATATAATTTCGATTGTTTTTCGAGGTGGAACTTGGAGTAGTTGCAAACACTCGCAAAATAACAGTGTATCGGCACATTCCTTAGAGCGTTTGTCGAGAGAACAAACCGATTTCTCCAAGGTATTTTCTGGTTGCGATAGTATCGGAGATGGCGGATATTTGAAAGACATGCCATTAATCTGAGGTATCCTTATCGCGCCTTTTTGCAAGCCTGAAATTTTTCCTTCATATATAATAATGACAAAAATATTATTGTAGCTTTATACTGTAGAAAACAAATATGTTTCATTAAGTATGCATGATACAATTGACATCTATATATGATTTTTTTTTAATTCTTCCTAATTTTATGAGTTTTAACTCTCTTTTTCACTTAATAATCTAAAGTATCGCACCATTAAATGAGCAACCGTTTCATTTTTGGCAAATAAAAATGTTTTTCAATAATTAAAAGTAATTTTCAATAATAAATAATAAACGAATTTTCTTACTTAAGTACGCTGGATAATATCTCGATATATAAAAGTTGTAGGAATTGTCTGTCATTTCATCTGTAAAAAATGAGAAAGTGTTTGCATCGAAGGGCACATAAATCGTTTCATCTGCTTTTTCCTCCAATTGCGATAATTTTGCATTCTTCAAATCCAAAGAACAAATGACATTTTTCAATATTCTATGACAGTGATGGCCATTTTCTGCGATTTTAAATGATTGTTCGTCAAAATTATTATTGTTTGTAGTCCTTATCGTGTACGAATCAAGGGCGGCATTTTCGTAAAAAATATATGCTTCTTGATGTAAATTGCGACATTCCCGAAGACCCTGAATATCGAGGGCGTACTTGCCGATTGCCTGTTCAGCCATTAGAATACCATCAAGTCTCTCGCCTGAAAACAAATTCAATATTTAAGTAAATTATATCATTAAATAATTTATACAATTCTCTGCGTCTTATTTCACGTGTTGGTTCTTTCAAATAAACTATGTAATAATTTACCTATTGAATAAACAAAAGGGTAAAAAAATAAGAACATAAGAGAATAAGACAGTGAGCTAAAGTTTATCGAAAGATGGAACAACTAGCTTTATTAATATTTCATAAAAAATAATCGACAACTTTTCCATACAATTTTATTGATTATAAAATTCTATCAAAACGAAGTGATTAAAAAATCAAAGAAATCACATTATCACATTAATATATACAATTATAATTTTTATTGAACAAAAATGTACAAATCTCAACATATATGTACATATTTATATATACACACATATATATAGATGTACATAATATAAAGTTTATCCCAAAAAAATATATTGAAATAATTATGAAGACTGAAAGTTTATTTAAAGAAAAATAAAGGCTTGATCGTATCGACATATATTTAACTAAAATTTCGCTAAAGATGAAGAATAAATTAACTAATGATCAATAATCACTGAATTTATATACTGATAAATTATTTTGAAATTGTAGATTATTTGGCTTATAGTTTTTTACTTTCTACTTTTTACAACTGATATTCAAATGTTAACAACTTATTTGTGTTCCTTATTAACATTTCTGCTACAATATTAATTTTTGAAAAGTATTAACCAATAGATGCTATCATCATATAGATGTGTGCATTTATTTTCATTTGCTTCAGACAAACATTTCAAGATTAATGGGGACATGTTTTTTGCGCTGAATACTGAGACTTTATATACTTTAAATAATAGAATGTTGACACGAGTAAATCGATATAAATATTGTAATGCATGTTTAATTTACTAGTATAACAATTCACTTTTCTATTGATAAGACTGACAATTATCGAAGAGGGAAATCATATGTCGTGTTACAAGTTAATACAAATTTGTAATCGTTATCTCGCTATTAAATCGACTCTGTTATTCTAGACACTTAAAATCTTAGTGTTAAGAAAGAGTAAAGAATCTTAAGCAGATTGGTTTACAGTCTTATATAAGACAACGTCTATGACCTAAGTCTTTTGTCTTTAGTAACGTACAATAACTGTCTTGTGACTCAAGTTTAAAGGTATATATATATATACATACGAGGTATCACACCATGGACTTGAATCACAAGACAGTTATTGTGCGTTACTAAAGACAAAAGACTTAGGTCATAAAATATTGTCTTAAGATTATAAGTAAGCCATTCTGCTAAGGCCCTAACTATATTTACCAATCTACATCGAATTATCGACGATTAGTATTGCGCTTTAGGAAATTAAACTAATGACGCTCTTGTGTGTATATGTGCGTGTGCGTGCGTGTGTGAGACATGCATTCGTATGTAATATTATCCTGATGGTGATTACAAACAAAAAATATCTCGTACTCATTCATATCTCATTGTAACCGTTTTTCAAAAAGGAAAAGATTCTTATCCTGCTGGATCACATGTACTTTTTTTGCATTAGTTCTTTTGCTGCGTTCAAAATCATGCGTAAAAAATAAAGATAGAAAATTGAATTAGTCAACAAATAATGCATAGTCAAATTGTTTAAATAAAAACGATATAAACGAGGAAAAAATAGTAACAGATAAAGGAAAAAATAAAAGTAACATATTGACATTTTTTATATCGATAGTTTTTCTGTGGAACACGGAAATAAACACTGATGTTGCTTAGTTTGGAAAACAATCAGTATTTGACATCAACAAATTCATTTAATCACTTGGAAAAATTATCTATTATACAGTCTTGATCAATTCAGTCTTTAGAGGCATCCGGCTTGTAAAAAGACGCGGACGGCGATTATCATGCCATGCTGGCATAATTCGTTTTAATATTGCACACTTGTTATCGTATTTTCTAATCCTCTAAATCATAATAATTTAAATTGTTTTATTTGTCCAAAAATTAAACCTTATAATAAATAAACCTTATATAAAACAAATGAACAATATGAATATTTAATTCATTGCGGCGCTCTATTCGAAACGCATGCTCGGTCGATGGATAATGGATAGAATATAGTTTCTTCTGTCGAATAATTTTCATTGTTTTATTTGCGGCGAGTCTTTTGTCACAGTCCTATTATAGTCGTTTCAAAATCTCGATTGAAAACGAATTACAGCTCGTTACAGCCTGTTATAGCAAAGGTTCGAACGAATCAGCATCGTAAATTGAGATAGCGATGATGTGCCATAAATGCGAATTGCAATGTTTTTCATGTTGATTATTCCATGTTGATATTCGTGCTGATACTAGAACATGATACTAGAACTTGCTCATTAGCGACGCGTTTGCGCATAGATCCCGATCTCCGCTTCGAAGAGAATCTGGTTGATCCTGAGTTTGGCGACCGATCTCGAGTAAGAGTCGGGGATCTCGGCGAGCTGCACAGCGATACTCTCGCCAAACTTGGCAAACTCTTCCTTGGTCTTTTTTTGTTCTTTCTCGTCCGGTGGGCGAAGCTCGAGTTTCATCTGTTCGGACTCAAGACCGTTCTGGCTCGGCAAAGAACCATTGTACAACTCCATTGCCTTCATACTGGACGACGAGGACTCTTCGGCGTCCTCGCTGAGCGAAGCGTTGAAGGAACCGGTACCAGAGCCGTTTGTCTCCTCGTTGTAATCCATAAATGTTATACTTTCTGGATCGATGTTGCTCACAATATATTCTTCTTGCAGTTTCGGTTCCTCTTCAACTTTCTGCGAAAAGGGATCAGGAATTTTACCGCGCTCTGACGTAAGAGCAGAATTAGAAAGGATTTCCTGTTTCTGTCAGTCTCGTAATTACTTTGTTTAATATACAAATGAATTACGAGCATTCAATCGTATCACGTTCGCACAACTATCCTAATCTCACGCTCTGATCTCCGAGAAAGACTTGAGTCGAAGCTTTCACGCGTATTGATTTTCTTTCATGAAACTTGGGAATTGCATCGCTATTACTATAGTAAGTATATCATTGCAGCGTAAATTGTATTTGTACAAAGTATTTATAAAAGTGCTCATTAAAAAACAATACGTGATTTTTGAATATTGAATGGAAAAATTATTTAAAATATTTGTGACCTTATGCAGTGGGTCAATATTGGCGCTCGTGTATAGTCGTCGCTCTCGTGCACGGATGCAATAAAACTCAACGATATTAATTATTATAACAATAAACGAATTATTCAAAGCGGGGGAGAGGACATGGATCGAGACGTAGGATCTTTGTCTTTATTTGAATTTTCGGGAAGCGGACACATTGCCACGCGTCGCCACGGGCCAATGAAATGTTTATCTCGACCAGCGACGCGTCGCGCTCGTTGGGATCCAAGTTTCATCGTCGTTCGCCACCGTCGTTTGCGAATCACGATATTTATACAGGGTGTCACGAAAGTTTTTGTCAATCGCTTTTGCGTAGATAGAGCGGAGTAAACTGAGTCGAAAAAAAGAGACGAAAATCATTAATTTTCTTCTCATAGAACTCTAAGAATTTTTTCAGAATCTTTTATCAACTTTTTAGTACTGCATTTTCTTATTTTTACCAACATGAGAAAATATGATATTAAAAAATTCTGAAAAAATTCTCAGAACTTTATAAGATGAAAATTAATGATTTTTGTCTCTTGCAGCTTTTTTCTGTAAAGTTGATGGTATTTGAGTAAAAAATTATCCAAGGTCAATATTTGGCAATTTTTAGTAATTAATATCTTGTTGACTATTGCGAAAATTGCAAAATAGTAGAGGACATTTCGATTCAGTTTAGTCCGCTTTATGTACACAAAAGCGATTGGCAAAAACTTTCGGGACACCTTGCATATCTACGTACTGTACTTATAGGACTGTAGGATATAGGAGATGTAATCTTTTTTAACGAACTAAGCAAAGCATAATTACAGCTGAGATTATTTCTCAAGACACATTTTTGAATGATGCAGAGATAACATCTTTAAACCGTCATTTTAATCATCTTGTAAAATTACACGAGAACAAATTAGCTAGTCAATCCGACACATTTTTTTCTTTTATGTTTACCTTTCCATTTCATCATTTGTTTTATTACGTATTAGATAAATTATTTGCGAAATCATATATTTTAGTAATATAATAGATATATTTTCGTAAAAATGAAACACAAGAAGAACATTTGAAATTTCTACTCAACAATCCGAAGAAACCCGATAGGTTTTCATTATTCGCTATTCCGGCATAATATGATTTGACACGGAAGGAGCCACAATAAAAACAATATACCGCGCGTTCGTTTATCATTATCGTTAGAAAATCTCGAAGGATTTCAAATGATTTGGGCCATTTTAGGAAACGATTTTAGGAAACGAGGTATTCCTCTACCTTCTTCCGCTTGCTGTATCTACGCGTGCCAAATTGTAGGAATTGCATGGCTTTGAAGGCGAACCACTTGGAGACGTATACGTCGTCTGGACCGGTGGCGGCGTCGCGACTGTTCTGTATCTTGTGTATCTCCCGAGAATACTGGCACTTGAGATTAGTGATCTTCTTCTCAACCTCGAGAGTGTTGCAGCTGAGAATCTCGGCGAGCTCTTGTATAGCTCGTTTGCGCTTCGTGCGGTCGCGATAGCCACGGGCGTTCCAATCCCAGAGGACGCGTCGTTGTTGATACTCGCGTAGCAGCTCCAGAGTTTTGTCGCGGGTCCACTCCATGCCGGCGTCGCGCGTTTCGCTACTGGTTAAACCGTGTCCCAAAGGCTGTACATGTAAGAGATATACCTCGGGACGGAAGATACAATGTGTCGGTGCGACTACGTAGAAGAAAGTCTCCTCGGAGATGTCACGTCGCGCGCGCGCGAACAAGCGGTTTAGCGATGTGGTCCAAGTCAGTCCAAGCGGCAGACGACGCGGTTGCCTCCTGCGCTCCTGTCGTTGTCGTCTGCTAATAAATCACGGACCGGAACGTCAACACGACGTAAGCCGTAGCTGCGAAACAAGCACGCGTTTTAATGATTTTTGCGCGAGGCTCGCGCGCTTCGCTACCTTCCTTTCTTTATTTCTCTTTATGGAAACCCTGGCGGGAGCACGAAGACGACCGAGTCTGCGCGAACGTTTAGCCTTCCTGCCATGCCTCGTACGTCTCACTCTCGCCGTCTACATCGTTATTCGAGCTTGTTAATGCCGTCGAGAGAGAGAGAGAGAGAGAGAGAGAGGAGGGGCGGGAGAATTTCCCTCTCTCGCTATTGCCGATGCCACCACCGCTGTCGATCCTGCTGATACTATCAATGTGCTTTCTTCCTTTCTTCCTTGTTGCTTTGTAAAGTTTCAAGCGCAGAATCGCGTTGAAGTGAAATCGAGCACAGGACGCTCTGGTCTCTAACTATTATTGAGTATATTCCATGCCTCGTAGTGTCCAAATTTTTCCAAATGTTCATTCATCTATCCTCGGCCACGAATAAATTAAATCCGCGCGTTTACGAGATTTCAATGAAGGCCTTGTATCTACAATTTAAAGAAGAGTGCTTTCTCGTACGCGCGAATCTAAAACAACTCTCTCTTCTCTCCTGCAAATCCCCCATCCGATTATCGGTATCTTTCTTGGAGCAGTAAGTATGTAAAACGCGAGAGTAGTTACGTTGAAGTAATGTGTGTAAGATCGATCGATATCCATTTCTTCTTTCCACGCACAAAATGCTTCTTGCTTTAAGACGCCAAAGTATCTTCCATCATATTTGTAGAATCATCAATTTGATTCTAGTTGATAGGTTTGATGGTAAATAAATAAAGGTTGCACTGATTTTTAAATGCGAATGCTATCAAGTCGTCATTTCGTCTTATTTATTAGTTGTAGTCGATCTCTTTATTACGAAATATTTACGCGTAATTGAATATACCTAATGGACGATATTTTTATGTATGTATATTTCTATGTACGTCTCAATCATCTTACTCGATTCCATTTTCAAAAGACTTTAATATCAGACAATATTATAGAATAGAGTTCTAATGAGATAGGCTTGGTTTATATCTTAAGATCTAGCGCAATAAGTATTCTTTACGCACGTGCAATATGTACATAATATACGTGCGTTAGATGATTTCTTTTTTGTCTCTCACTGTTCCATTGAAAAATAATTCCAAATTTAATAAATCAAGGTATAATATTTCGCTGTAATAATATTGCACTCTTTTTCCCTCTCTTAAGTGTATCAAAGATGTGTGTATATACTCGTATAAACTCGTGTACAAATATACTTATATGTACATTTGTATAATACGCAAATGTGTTTGTACAATACATATGAAAAAGATTTAAAACCATTGCAGTATAAAATTGATTAGATTCAATGTGTGTAGCATTAGTAAAGACTGTGTGGATACAAGGGTGGGATAGAGCAATCCGTGAATTGAAATAAAACGTACCTGGGAATAGAACGACATGCGTGCCCGTCATCGATTGCACAGGGTTGCCGTCAGCAGCAAGTATTTCAAGCGAATGTCCATGGGCGGATAATGAAATGGGACAATCGTGAGCATTTGCGTTAATCAGGCGTAATAAATAGCGAAATCCATGCTTCACCCGCACAATCGCTTGCTGCGCCTATAAAAATGTTAAATACTCTTTAGGTCGTCGTTGACGTATTCCAAGTATCTACGCTGTATCTACGCCGCAACCGGCAATATATATTTGAATCGTCCAACTCGATAATCTTGATCTCAGATCCCGCGGCCTTGGACCTGGACTACCTGGAGTTGGAACGAGCGAATGTTTGCGGAGGGCTATTGGGCTACGTTCAAATGAGGCTGCGTATATACCTGGCCATTTACGAGGAGCTCGTCCGGCGTAGGTGGCGAGAGGCTCGCGTGTCGGAGCCGCGTCAGGGGAACCGACGACCTTGATGAAAAGACGAGTGTCCTTTCTCGACTGAGATCGTCATCCTGCAGCCCTCGTACTACCAACGACCCGTACACTCCGTCGCCCTGCTGCGAGACTAATGGTCCCTTTTATTTCTCTTTTCTTTTCGGAGTTACCGGCGACCGCTACGCTACGCGGTTTTACGCGATTCGTGCCTCGCCTCGCCCTCGCCACGGGTTTAGGCCTCGGCAGGCACCGAGACACGCCTTCATCAGCCTTCGTCTTCCGTTTCGAGTCGAGATCCTTCGAATCGCGAAAGCGCGAAAGGCGCACGCAGTTGGTATTTTTCTTCTCCAATTAGAAAGACGCTTCGCGGCGCGTACGTCATTTCTGATCGAACAAATTCTCGACGAATTCGAAGAGGAACGCGTAATGTATTATTTTCGCACAGCGATAGAAGCAGCGAGATACGCGGCGGTCCCTGCTCTTTCGGGACACCGCGAACTCGTTATTGATCTTGCTTTTCTTGATGCGCGAGCGCCGCGGATAGATGTTACGTTCTATGGCGTAGACCGGAGTCACCGGAGTCACCGGAGTCAAAATCCGACGGAGAAGCTCGACTCGAGCGTGTAAACTCCGTGACAGGATAATCGCGATCCGCACAATTTTTCTCCCAATTTTTCTCCAAATTCTCTTACTCCTTCACGCTGACGCTCGCACGTTGAAGTAAATTAGAGGTTAAAACAGAAATAAGAGAGGGGGGGGAAAAAAACGGAGATTCGCGAAAAAAAGAATCGGCAACGTAATAAAATCATTGAAGTTCGTTAAAAGCTGCGATTGAAAAGATAGGGAAAATGTAAGGAAATTGCGATAATCCACATATATCTACCTGAATGAGCGTGATAAAAGTACGTTCCCGTGCTCTCGGGAGTTATCTTGTAACGAAAGCCACCGAAGGGTAAGATAGGGCACTGCGTTATCATAGGCACCCCGTCCATGTAATTGGAATCCTTTTGCCGGATTCCATGCCAATGGAAAGCCAATTCGTCACTTCCCAACTTGTTATAAACGAGAACCTCTATCGTATCACCGAGACAAATCTATGATAAAAGTATATTCTGTTATAAATGTCTCTAATCGCTATATAATTGTCAATGTCGATAATTGTCGCTCGTTCTCGTCTCTCGTCATGAAAAGAACCGACTCAACAATCGAGAATGGATTGAAAAGCGTTCATTTTAACATTCGTGAATCAATATTTCTGAAAATCTGAATCCATTTCAATTCATTTCAATCCATTCTCCATTCTGTATCTTCAAACAAGGTGGAAATGACAAAAGTGAGCAAATTTCCTAGATGTTGACCAATGTAATTGTCAAAATTCGTTTTGCTTTACGAAAAACCTGAGTAATATTAATGCTATCAATGTTGAGAAAAAAACAAATATTTTTTATAGTTTATGTTTTTATAAATATAATTTTTTAATGAATATACTCACTTGTATAGCCGGTCCTGGACTTTTCCCGTTAATCGCCAAAAAGCTCCTTATTGATTGCACGGTAATATTTTCGTCGCTGCTCTCGGGTTTGTTGTAGAAACTGCTAATTTTATTAATAATAATAACATTTTATCGATACGTCAGTATTGGTAGGAATAAAGTTTTATAACATATAGTTAAATTATTATTTTTGTCGCGTTTAAATTTTAGAAAATGCAGCGAATAAATAAGTCGAGAGCGGATTTTGTCAAAGGTTTTCAATGTGTATAATATTTATATATATAT